GTGGTTCCCGCAGAGCAAAAAGTCTGAGTTGCGGGATAAGATTTTCTTCTTCAAGCAGATACATGGAGAGCAGTTGTATGAGGCATGGGATCGCTTCAAATTATACTTGGTGAGGTCTCCAAACCATGGTTTTCTGGATTCCATGTTGTTGGAAAAATTTTATATGGGTTTGGATCCCATGAACCAAGCCATTGCCAAGAATGCAGCTGACTGATCTTTCATGGACAAATCATTTGCAAGAGTGACACAAATCCTGGACAAAATGGCAAAGCACAACAAAGCATGGCATTCAGAGGATACTACCGGAGAAATCTCATATGACTCTCCTTCCTTGAGCAACTTAATCAAGGAAAATCAAGAGAGGGATCAAGTGATTGCCGGGCTTGCAACAAATGTAAATGTGCTGACAAAGATGTTTACCGATAATCAGACAAAAAAAGTGAATGCAGTTGAAGATGTCCAACCCATCTTAGATGAAAATTTTGAGGAAGCAAATTATATCAACAACCCTCAAGGAGGGTATCAAAGGCAACCCTACCATGGTCAAGGGCAACAAAGCCAGTGGAGGCCAAACCCGCAAGGGCAAGGCAACCAACAATGGAGAAATGATCAAGGTAACTCGCATCAAGGAAATTGGAACAACAACAACAACTTTGCAAACCGGAGCTCCAACCCGTATGTTCCCCCAAAAGGTCATTATGCAAATCAAGGGTCGTCAAGTGAGTCAAAGTTAGAAAGCATGCTTGAAAGAGTATTGCAAAACCAAGAAAAGTCTGACGCGTCCATGAGAAACATGACCGAAGTTGTTGGCTCTCACACCGCATCTATCCAAAAGTTAGAGATGCAAATGAGAGACCTTTCAAGAGAGCAAAACCCAAAGCAAAAAGTGCAACTTCCTAGTGATACCATTGCGAACCCGAAGAGTGGTGGAAGTGGCCCAACTTCTCACGTCATAGCAATAACTACTAGAAGAGGGAAGGTTTTACAAGGTGACATTGAGCAAGAGGTTATTGGGGAAGAAGCCGAACAAGAAGTTGAAGCAGAAGAGCAAGGAGTTGTTGAAGTTGAAAGGGTGCCAGAAAAAGAGAAGGTGCAAGAAGTGAACCAAGAAGGGGTGAAGGAAAAGGAGAAGGAGACATCAAAAGCTCCACCTCCTATTCCTAGACCTCCTCTGCCTTTTCCTCAAAGACTTATTAGAAGGGTTGATGATAGAAAACTTGAGAAATTCTATGATATTCTAAAGCAGTTGTCGGTGAACATTCCATTCTTTGAGGCTTTTCAAGAAATGTCGGGGTTTGCCAAATATTTGAAGGATTTGATCACCAAAAAGAGGACCACAAAGAATAAGGTGGTAAACTGACTCACCGGGTTAGCTCTATTATTGCCACAAGCCCTGTCCAAAAGAAAGAGGACCCGGGAGCATTTACTATTCCATGCACTATCGGGGAGCGTGACTTTGCAAAAGCCCTTTGTGACAATGGGGCTAGCATCAACTTGATGCCACTTGCCATCTACAAGCAAGTGGGATTAGGGATGCCGAGGCCAACAAGCATGAGGTTACAAATGGTTGATCGATCTATTAAGCGACCGGTAGGAATTGTTGATGATGTGATTGTGAAAGTTGGAAAATTCCATTTGCCCGCCGACTTTGTAATTCTTGACTGTGCTGTTGATAAAGATATCCCTATCATCTTAGGGAGACCATTCCTAGCCACAGGAAGAGCACTCATGGATTCAGAGTGAAATGAAATTAAGTTCCGGGTGAATGATGAAGAAGTCACATTTCAAGCGAGCAAGGGTATGAAATTACCCCATGAGTATGAGAGCATTTCAGTGATAGATGTGGTTGATAAGGTTGAAGATGTTGTTGAATTGAAATTGGAAGAACAATGCCTTGGTGAGGCATTGGCGGCTATCTTGGTAAACTTTGATGGTGAGGACATGGATGGGTACATGGAGTTGGTAAATGCATTGGAGGGTCTTGGATCCTATACTTACACTCCGGCAAAGCTTTCTCATGACTTGGAGAATAGGGCCACACCTCCCGCCAAGCCATCAATCATTTAGCCACCACAACTAGAGCTCAAGCCTCTCCCGCCGCACTTAAGGTATAAATGTCTTGGCTCTAATCATACTTTACCCGTAATCATTTCGTCTTTGCTAAATGATGTGCAAGTAAACCAATTGTTGGAAGTCTTGAAAGAACATAGGCAATCCATTGGATGGACCATTGCGGATATTCTTGGAATCCCCGCGGGAATTTGTGAACATAAAATCCAATTGGAGAGCGAAACAAAGCCAAGTGTGGAACATCAAAGGCGGTTGAACCCGTCAATGCAAGAGGTAGTAAAGAAGGAGATTATCAAGTGGTTGGATGCCGGGGTAGTTTACCCCATTGCCGACAGTTTGTGGGTGAGCCTAGTACAATGTGTGCCAAAAAAGGGTGGCATGACCGTGATCGAAAATGAGAAGAATGAGCTCATTCCAACGCGAATTGTGACCGGATGGCGAGTTTGTATGGACTATCGGAAACTTAACAGTGCTACTTGCAAGGACCACTTCCCTATGCCTTTTATTGATCAAATGCTTGATCGGCTAGCGGGGAGGTCATTTTATTATTTCCTTGATGGTTACTTTGGCTACAATCAAATCAACATCGCTTTGGAAGATCAAGAGAAAACTATGTTCACTTGCCCGTATGGCACTTTTGCTTTTAGCCGGATGCCATTTGGCTTGTGCAATGCTCCGGCCACTTTCCAAAGGTGTATGTTGTCCATCTTCTCCGACATGGTTGAGGACTTTCTTGAAGTCTTCATGGATGATTTCTCGGTGGTTGGTGATTCGTTTGGGCACTGTCTTAACAATCTTAGACAAGTGCTTAAGCGATGCGAAGAGACCAACCTTGTGCTAAATTGGGAGAAGTGTCACTTCATGGTTGACGAAGGCATTGTGCTTGGGCACAAAATTTCAAAGCATGGTATTGAAGTCGACCGGGCAAAGATTGAGATTATTTCTAAGCTTCCTCCACCGACCTCCGTGAAAGGTGTTAGAAGTTTTCTAGGGCATGCCGGGTTTTACAGGCGCTTCATCAAGGACTTCTCCAAGATTGCTAACCCCATGTGCAAACTCCTCGAAAAGGATGCCAAGTTTGTGTTTGATGAGAACTGTCTTAAAGCTTTTGAGGAGTTAAAGCAAAGGCTCACCATGACACCCATTATTGTCACACCCGATTGGTCACTTCCTTTCGAGCTCATGTGTGACACCAGTGGTGTAGCCAAATGCTTGGCCAACGTCACAACAAAGTTCTCCACCCGGTGTACTATGCAAGTAAAACTCTCAATGGGGCACAAATGAACTACACGGTAACTGAGAAAGAGCTTCTTGCTATGGTGTATGCTTTTGAAAAATTCCGGGCTTATTTGTTGGGGTCCAAGGTGGTGGTATACACTGATCATGTGGCTCTTCGATATCTCATGGCAAAGAAGGATGCAAAGCCTCGATTAATTCGATGGGTCTTATTGTTGCAAGAATTTGACTTCGAAGTCAAAGATCACAAGGGAACTCAAAATCAAGTGGTGGATCATTTGTCAAGGCTTGAGGAAGTAGGGAGACCACAGGGAGATCTTGAAATCAACGATGTATTCCCTGATGAGCACATATTGGCATTATCTAGCACTTTTTCTCCTTGGTATACCGATATTGCTAACTACTTGGTTAGTGACCTTATCCCGGACGGATTGGCATCTTATCAAAGAAAAACGTTTTTGAGAGACTGCCGACAATACTATTGGGAGGAACCATACTTGTTCCTTGTTTGTGTTGACAATATTATCAGAAGGTGTGTTCCCGAAGAAGAGGTTATGCCAATTCTCAAGGCATGCTATGACTCACCGGTTGGGGTCATCATGGAGGAAATCGGACGGAGGCTAAAGTTCTTGAATATGGGTATTATTGGCTTTCCATCTACCATGATACCAATCAAATGGTCAAGGCTTACGACCAATGTCAACGACAAGGTTCAATCTCCAAGAGGCATGAAATGCCGATGCACTTTGTGATGGAGATAGAGATCTTTGATGTGTGAGGAATCGAATTGATGGGCCCCTTTGTAAGTTCTTGTGGGATGAAATACATCTTGGTAGCTGTGGACTACGTGTCCAAATGGGTTGAAGCAGTTGCCTTACCAAACAATGAGGCAAGGAGTGTGACCGCCTTCTTGAAAAAAAACATATTCACTCGGTTTGGCACTCCTAGAGCCATCCTTAGTGACGGTGAATCTCATTTTTGTAACAAGGCATTCTCAGGGTTGCTTGAGAAGTATGGCGTAAAGCACAAGGTGGACACACCTTATCATCCGCAGTCAAGTGGTCAAGTTGCAGTTTCCAACCAGGAGATCAAGAGCATTCTAGCAAAAACTGTGAAAGCAAATAGGACTGACTGGTCAAGGAAGCTAGATGATGCATTGTGGGCATACCACACGACCTACAAAACCCCCATTGGTACTTCTCCTTATCGGCTAGTCTTTGGTAAATCATGTCATCTACCCGTGGAATTGGAACACAAAGCTATGTGGGCGTTGAAAAGGCTGAACTTAGATTGGGCTGAAGCTGCAAATTTGAGGTTAACACAACTCAAGGCTCAAATTGTTTCCGGGCAAGATTAAATCAAAATGGTCTGGTCCATTCAAAGTGGTCAATGCCTCTCCTTATGGAGCTGTGGAATTAGAATCAGATGGGTCTCAGACATTCAAGGTAAATGGCCAACGCATCAAGCACTACTTGGGCACTGATGGAGAAAAACATTTGGTGGAGCAACTGGCTCTCAAAGATGGTCCATGCCCGACCATTGCGTGAAACGAAAGGAACATCAACTTCGTCGTGCCGCGATGTTAAATCAAGCGCTTCATGGGAGGCAACCCATGTGTGGTAACACTCTTTTGTTCCATGAATTTTTAGTTTTTGATAGATAGATTTATTTGAACAATTTAAAGTGTGTGTCAGAGTGCAGGGGGTTCAAAATATCACAACAATTGGTACGAATGCATAAAAAGTGGAAGAAAAACCACTAGGTGAATTCTGTTGCACAAATGCGGTCGCATTTTAGCTATGCGGACCGCACTCTGATCGCAAACCTAAGCAGAGATTTGGGTTAAAATTGTGGTTGAAAATGCGGTGAGGTGGTGCATTATGCAGTCCGCATTTAATTTATGCAACCGCATTTTGCACCGCATTTGCCTCCCTTCAGCTTGGTCCTTAATCTCATCGCATAATTCACATGCGGTCGCACTGTGTGTTATGCGGTGTCCTATCCATCGCAGAATCGACAAGGTAAGTTTGCATAACCCTCTTGTCTCTCACTCACTTAAAACAAAACAAAAAAAAAACGAAAAAAGGGGAAGAACACGAACGGACTTCGAACCAAATCAAGCTCAAATTGTGTGCAACCAAAGGACTCCATTTGTCACACTCAATTTCCCAATCATCAAACTCTGCTGGTATGTACCCATTTCTCCCTCGTTTTATCTTTGATTTCCACTGTAGGTTCAGAGATTTTTCGTTTAAATCCTGTGCAAAAATGTGTTTAGATGCTTGTGTAGTTGCTTCTCTGTAGTGTAGATGCTTTTGGGTTGAAAATAATTTGGGGTACGGGGTAGAATAAAATAGGACCGCCATTGTTGAAAGCTTGGGTGACCTATGTAGAAGAAGGCATCTGCGGCCTGCATTGTGAAAATGCGGTCCGCATTTAGGCCACACAACTAAACCCTAAATCTTCAGAAGAAGATGATGAAATGCGGTGTCTTTGCGATCGCAGATTTGACATGCGGACCGCAAATTCACCACAGAGTGATACCGAGATTTCAGTTTTGAACCATATAGTCATGTCAATTATGCGATGGTTATGCGGTTTGCATAGTGGTTATGCGACCGCATAACTCACCACAGAATGAGAACACCAGTTGATACTACAAGATCTGCGACAAGTTTGCGGTCCGCATTATGGTTTTGCGATCGCAGACCAGATCGCATTTTCTTTCTTGCTTTTGATTCGTCTGTATCTTCTCCGTATTGTTAATGATGTCACTCACTCTTCACCATTGTGCAGATACGGGTCAAAAGAGACGCTCATCAAAGCGGTCTTGCACCAGTAAGTGATCTCGGATAGAGGACAACATGCCGAGCCCCTCCCAGTCTGAGGCGGAGGAGCTCAGGCCCTCAATCAATATAGAGGCTGAAGAGAGAAGGAAACGAGGTAAAGATTTCCAGCTCCGATTTGGGGTTGATGGGTCCAGGGAGGTATTTAGAAAAAGGCTCACAAAGCGCAAAATCCTGGGCGAGAAACAATTGAGCTTGAACGGGCTCAAAGACAAATACCCCCATATCCTGGTAAACATAAAAACACGAGGATGGGAGAACTTCACTGAGCCACCCACGGAGTACAATGAGTCCCTTGTGAGGGAATTCTATGCATCTTATGGGGCCTCCAGGACGAAATACCACAAACGCAACAAAGTTTTCACTGACCAAGTGCTTGTCCGGGGAAAGACTGTTTTCTGCAACATTGAAGCCCTTAATGCGTTCTACGTCAAAGGATAGAGAGCAGGCACAACTGAGTACACTGAAAAATTCAAAAATAAGGAGAATGAATGTGGATGGATTGCCTCAGTGATAGCAAAAGGGACTCCCGCTTGGGTCGATCCTCAGCACAAGATATATAAGGAAGATTTCACGAGAGAGGGTCGATAC